ATACCCTTGATGATCTGGGAAGTTTCTCAAGCATTCTAAAAGTGAACATAAGGATCCGAACCTCTCGATTTGCAAAATTTTGTGGGTTTTTCTGGGTCAAGTGAATAGTAAATCATTTTCATAGTTCACCTTAGGCCACAAGTGGCAAACACAAGGCCTGCGGGTGGAATCCAGCCCTCCACCTTGTTTTATCTGGCCTGGCACCTTGTTTCTACCCAGCAACAGCACCAAGCTCTCACTTAACTGTTAAGAAGTAGTTACATTTATACAGTCCTAAAATTACATTTGGCCCTTTGAAGGTGACCACAAGATTTGATATGACCCCTGGTGAAAATGAGTTTGACACCCCTGCCTTAGGCCATTTACAGAAGAGCTTCTTATTATTATTATTCATTATTCACCAAATTTAATTATCTTTTTTGCCTAATGCATTCTTTCTGAAACTTTTGCAAGTTTTGGCACTAGTGAGTATCTTCTTTCTTCCTAAAACTTTATCTTTCTAGGGTTCCATGACAATGTTTTTTTGTCTATCTTCTTACCCCTCTGACAGTTTCTCAGTTTCATAGATATGACACCAAAAGTGTGATTCATGAAGGAAAAAAAATAAATTGGACTTTATCGAAATTGTACATACTTGTTCTTCAAAAGATACCATTAAAAAATAAAAAGATTGAGAAAAAATGTCTTAAATCCTGTATCTCAACAATCAACAACAGAACCTAAAAAGCAAAAACAAAAACTCAGCAAACAACTAGAACAGGAACAGAATCACAGAAATGGAGATCACATGGAGGGTTATCAGTGGGTAGGGGAAGGAAGAGAGAGGGAGGGGAAGGTACGGGGAATAAGAAGCATAATTGGTAGGCATAAAATAGGGGAAGGTTAAGAATGATATAGGAAATGGAGAAGTCAAAGAACTTATATGTGTGACCCGTGGACATGAACTAAGGAGGTGGGGAATGTTGTAGGGTGGGCAGTTGCAGCAAGGAGGGGGATAAAAGGGAGAAAAAAATTGGGACAACTGTAATAGCATAATCAATAAAATACACTTAAAAATAAAGGATGTGCAACCAATATGATATGTTTATGTACTTACAATTCAATAACAAAATGAACCCAATTATCAAATCAGCAAGATATATGAACAGCTAAAAAGTATATCAAAGATGCTCAGCATTATTTGTCACTAGGAAAATGAAGATTAAAGCCACAATGAACTACTATTACTCACTCACTAGAATGGCTATAAAGCAGACAGTAACAATTTTCAGCAAGGATGAGGAGAATGCTCCTCCATTGCAGGTAGGCATGCAAAACGGTGCAGCAGCTTTGGAAAACAGCTTGGCAGTTTCTTACCAAGCCCAGCACAAACTCACCATATCAGCCAGCAACACTACTGCCCCAGAGAAACAAAACCATCCTTCCACAAACATTGTTTCACAATGACCGTAGCAACTTATTCAGAATAGCCCCAAACCAGAAATAGTTCAAATATGCATGAACTGATGAGTGAATGAACACAATATGGTGTGCAATGGAGTACTATTCAGCAATATAAAGGAACCAATTGTTGATTTTTATACTGATAATGGAAAAACGCGGATGAGCCTCAAAAACATTGTGTTGAGTGAAAGAAGCCAGACACAGAAGAGCACATATTTCATTTCAGCTAACTCAATTTACTTAAAATTTCTGGAAAAGACAAAAAAAGAGACACAAAGCAGATGAGTGGTTTCCTGGGACTGGAAATAGAAGTGAGGATTGTGTGCAAATGGGTACGAGGGCACTTTCCGAGGTGATGGAAATGCTCTGAAACTGGAATATGTTAATAGTCTCACTGCTGTTTAAATGTGCTAAATATCATCAAATTGTATGTGTACAGTGAGTGAATTATATAGCATATAAATTATATCTCAACAGAACTGTGGATGAAATTTTTTAAATAAGTTAGAATCTTTTACTATTATTTGGGCATTTTTTATTATGTGGACATTTTAATTACTAAACTATTTGAGGGCCCAAAGTGACCACAGGAGCCCTGACTGGTGTGGCTCAGTTGGTTAGGAATTGTCCCACAAAGCTAAAGGTTGCTGGTTCGATTCCCAGTAGGGGCTCATGCCTGGGTTGCAAGTTCTATCCTGCTTGGGGCACATGAAAAAGGCAGCAAATTGATGTTTCTCTCTCATGTTATTTCTCTCCCTCTCTTCCTCCCTCCCCCTCTTTCTATAAATAAGTAAATAAATAAAATTTAAAGTGACCACAGGACTTTTCATTACTAAAAAAATTACTAGAAAAGACAGAAAATTGCCTGCAATTTTATCTATGGGGCAGGGAAGAACTAGTCCTGCAGAAACTATCATTACAGCTCAGAGCAAGGGGAGGGAGAGAATGGGCCAGAAGTAACATTTGAAGAGATAATGGCTGAGACTTTTCCAAACCAACAGAGGATTCAGGGTGTGCAACCAACCCCAGGATACATCTCTGCAAAGCTTCTGATAACCAAAGGCAAAAAAGAAAATCTTAAAAGCAACCAGAGATATATATTCAACATGCAACAAAACTAAACTCTATTTTTAGGGATGCATACATAGGTAGTGTAACTTTTTCAAAAGCAAGTAATTATTATTTAAAATTTTAAGATACCCGTTATCTCTAGATAGGATGATGGGGATGTGACCTGGAAGAGGACGCAGGATCCCCTTCCTGCCGGCACCGTTCGGTCCCTTTGTCTGACTGATGGTCACCTGGGTGGTTGACATAATTACACATTAAGTTGTATATACACATTGTGTGTACTTTTCTGTATATACTCTATATTGCACAATGAAAAGAGAATATATTAATTAGTGCCTTATATGTTTTAAGTGTTGTTGTTTGGTTTTTCCTTAGAGATATTTTGATGAGAAAGAGTACTTTCTTGGGACATGTTTTTCAAGTTGGTGGTTTCACTAGCATCATCATCAGTCTTGTTTTGGCCTGTAAAATTTTTTTTCCCCGTAACTTAGAGATATCCACTTCTTGTAGATCACACCAATAAGGAAATTTGACCAAAGACAGTATTTTCAAAACTAAGAAAACGGTTGGTTAAAAAATAACGACCAAATATGATTGCAGAACCAACAGAAACATGTGTTATAGACGAGAAATAGTATTTTATGGTGAGTGGGTGGGCAATTTTTGTCTTTTTGGCACTTAAATCCATTAATTTCAGTGTCTGCCTAAGAGCTATTTATTCTTAAAAATCAAGACAGATTTTAATGAATTATACATTTTTGTTATTATTTGAGCCTGCATAATTAGTCCCTTATTCTTCCTTTTTTAAGCCAGCAGAAAAATGGTTTTGTATAATAAACTTTGAGTGGTCACAGCATAGTTAGTGTCTTTTACTACTGATCTGGCTTCAGGCTGGCCCCAGTCCTTGAGGTCTGCCCAGTTCTGAGTTCGTCCAATTCGTACAGCTCTGTTGATAAAGTCAAGCTTCCGATACTCAGTTTTGGTTGGAGCAGGCAGACGGAAGGTGGGAACTCACAAAATTTCAGGAGTCACTTCATCGGCTTCATCGAGTAAGGGTTGTCTTTACCAAAGCAAGGATCATTGAATCTGGAGAATGTTCAGACTCATGGATTCCTTTTGGGAACTTGAAATGTCAAGAAATGAATAATCCATGCTTTTCCTCCTAGCCATGCATGAAAATTCAATTACAATTTCATGAAGCAAATATTATTAGTTCTACAGTCTCATTTTTTCCCTCAATACTGAGTGCTGCTCTCACTGGGAAGAATATTCCCCAAGCATCCCCTCTCTACTTGGTTAATTTTAGTCTGTTTCCATGATGTATATAAGGATCTGCTAAGCTTCCTGAAACCTCCTGAAACTGGAATATGTTAATACACAAAAACTTTGGTGTTTTATACACAAAAATTGATTTAAAAAACAGGAACATGCCAGATTTACTGGGAGTGTGAGTTAGAGTAGACACCATATATATTCTTCCAGTGGTTCCCAAGTGCAAGTTCTCAGTTCTACTTTCATCCAAGATTGGTCACAGCGCTGCCCTTACAATAAACCATCCTTCACCCTATGATAATGGCCCCCTTTTATGTATGTTAAAAGGGTTTTTTTCTTCTATGAAAATGAGATTGATAAGAGTGTGGCGTTCTGAATGGACTTTTTAAAAATATTAAGTTCCCTTAAATATTTTTTGAAATATTACAAGTCTGTGAAATCTAAAAGTCTGCAAATCACACTTTCTAAAAGATCTCTTTTTACCCGTATGGTTTTTTCACTGAATCACAGATTACAGCCTTTCAGTACCAGCCACCAACCTCTTTAATCAACACTATTGTATTTGACATATTTAACTACCCTTCTTCCTAAACCCGTCTCAATGAACAGCATCCAGTGGCAACAAACAAACAAACCCAAGAAGTTTTTCTCCTCTAATTAATTGCTCTTCTATGGCTTTCCTTGTTGGTAGGTACTTCTATTTCACCAAGTGAAAGTGACTAATCTGGGTACTCCTCAAGATACACTCACACTCACTCACATTCTCTCTCTCTCTCTCTCTCTCTCATTAAATTATGATAAGAATACTTAATATGAAATATCTACCCTGTCAGCACATTTTTAGTGCACACTCTCCATCTGCTCTCTATTTGCACTCATTCTTATGGGAACTGCTGTCTTCAGACTTCAATTACGACCTCTGTGCAAATGACTGTCCACACTTCAGATGTGAATGCTTCCAGTAATCCACCAGACTTCCAACGCTCTAGAAGCCATCTGCACTGGGCTGGCCCACCCAACTCCAGTTTCCTTCTCCCACAGGGAACTTGTTTTGTTCTCCACCAAACTAGCTTACCCTTGCAAGTTTCCCATTTCCACCAAGCACTTTACTGGCAACCAAAACATCATTGTTCTTTTATCCTTTTCTGTCATCTTCTCAATTTTTCTAAATTTCAACACAAACTTTGGAGTAAAAAATAACTAGATTTTTTTCCCCATGTATCCTGGGCATGAGCCAGCATGAGCACAGACCAAAAGCCCCGCTGGGATAAACAAGGAGTTATTTTATCGCTGACTGATAGGAGACAAGCACCACCAAACCAGGGGCCACTCTACCCAGGTCAGGGACAAAAAAAAAAAAAAAAGACCTAGATTTGATTGCAGGTTCTGGCTCTTAATATCCTTGAGAACTTTGGACAAATGATTTTATAGACTAACTGTTTGTGTGTTTGTGTCCATTAAAAAATTCATATGTTGAAGCCCCTAGGATGATGGTATTTGGAGGTGAGGGCTTGGGAGCGGATTGAGGTTAGAGGAGGTTATGAAGGGATTGGCATCCTTATAATGGGAAGCTCCAGAGAGCTGTTGTCATATGAGCACATAGTGAGGTAGAGGCTGCCTATGAGCCAAAAGAAGGCTTCAGAACGAAACCTACCCTGTCATCCCCTTGATCATGGATTCCCCAGTCTCCAGAATTGTGAGAAATAATTTTCTGTTCTTTGAGCCATCCAGTCTCTTGTATTTTGTGATGGTAGCCCAAGCAGAATAAAACACATACCTCTCTGTGCCTTGGTAAAAATGTGGTCAGTAACGTAATACCTACCCTGCTGGAAGATAGTCTTTCCTTTCTCCATCTCCATTACTACCACTCTCACCGGAGGCCCTCCCCTGCTAACTGCTAGACTGTGGAAACCACCTCCTAGTAGAGTTCCCTGTTTCTGCCCTTCCCTGTTTCAGTCTACCTTGCACACCAGTCAGATTAACTCTGAAAGAGATCAAATCAACCATGTCACTCCATGTCCTCAGAGCTGTCAATAGTTCATCACTTAACTAACAGATAAATTTCTAGACATGGCATAAATGTATCTCAGAGTAGCATTTTTATAAACCTCACCTGCAGACATGTTTACTGATTTTACAGAGAGAAAGAGAGAGAAACAGAAAACAGTTGCCTCTTCTATGTGCCTGACTGGGAAACAAACCTACAACCTTTTGGCGCATGGGACGATGCTCCAACCAACTGAGCTACCTGCCCAGGGTTCAGAGTACCTTTAATATTATCTATTTACTTTTCCTTTAAAAAAAAAAGTTCATTTCTCCAGGATGGTATTTACTGATCCTTTCCAAAGCTGGGTATATGATTCTTCCCCAGGCTGGAAGGTACTTAACATTCCTTCGATCTACCCAGATCTGCTCTTCAAGTTATCCCTCCTCCAGTATATCATCTCCAGCTGCTCCAGGGACTCTGATTTCCAAGCTAATAGTCCTTGTTTTGATACATAATTATATGCTAACTTCTACAATTTAACTGCTTCATGTAAGGAGGTTCTATTACTTCAACTAAGAAAGTAGCAGAGTTCTGGGGAGCAAAACTCATGTTTACTTGACTTCTCTATAATCCTGAACACCCAGCATGCATCTCTCACACACACACTCACACACACACACACACACACACACACACACACACACAGCCGGTTCTCAAGAAATACTGTGGAATAAATGTGGCATGAACTTGATATACATGCACCCTAATGTTCTTTTTGCTTTTTAACTATAAAACATTTCAAATACTATATAGCAAACTGTAGAGAATAATAACAAATACCCTGATTTTTAAAATGTTAATATATTGTCATGTTGACTTCCAAGTTTTTAAGGGAATAAAACTTCGCAGATGCTCTCGAAGTTATTTCCTGATCCCATTTCCTCTTTCTGATCCCACTTCCCATCCTCTTGCTCTGGAGGTGTCATTCAGATGTGTCCTCACCATCCATGTTTTAATATTTTAACTACTCATATGTGTGGCTCTAGATGCTACCTTTGGGTTTTTTAAGTTTATATACATGTTTGCACTATGTTTATCCATCTACAAATTGCTCTTTTCAACTCATTATTTGATTTTGAGAGCTATTCGCACTGCTAATTCAAGATCTGGTTTAGTCATTTTACTGCTCCATGATGCTCCCTCGTGTGACTGTACCATAATGTATGCATTTATTCTCATACTACTGAACATTTAAGCTGTTTCCAATTGTTTGATGTCGCAGGCAATATGGCAATGAAAATTCTTGAGACTGTGAGGCAGCCCACTTCCAAAGCAACTAAACCCACATGTAAAGTCTTTAATTCCTCAACAATGGTTCACATGTGTTCTCTAATTTCTAAACTTTCAAATATTCTAAGAAGGCCCAGGCTAGTTCTTAATACCCCACAGCTGACACAGCATCATGACAAGGACCCCGTCTCCCAGCCTCGGTGTAGTTGCTTTTTCTTGAAGTCCACCAACCTCTAAATATTAGTAATTACTACATCCCTCACTCAACATGTCACAGCTAATGTCAACACACAGTGTAAAAATGAGTACACTATGACTAGGGAAACTTTTCTCGAATCAGCCCAAACCTTTTTAATGTCTGATAAGCCATTACTGAATAAATACTTCTTCAGCTCAGTACAGCCAGGCACTGTTCTAGGCACTGAGAATAAAATGGTGAAGTGAAACCTGCTCCCATGGACCCTGCATTCTGATAGCAAAAGATAGGGAGAAATGAACAAATAAGTGAATGTAAAATATATCAGATGGTGATAATTGCTATAATAAAAATGGCAATGCAATAGAATATAGTTAGAAAGGTAATCGTAAATGTCCTCACCGCAAAAAACAAATAGTAATTACCCATATTTTGCTGTGTATAATGCGCTCCCGTATGTAATGCACACCGACATTTTGTGTGCATTATACACAGGATGATTATAACCATTATTGTACTCATGGTATGTAATCATTACACCCATATATAATGCACATCTTGTTTTCCCCTCAAAAATTTGCGCAAAAAAGTGCACATTACACATGGCAAAAATGGTATGTGCCATGTGAAAGGTAAGATGTAACACTGCGGTGATAATTTTGCAATATAGAAGAGTATCAAATCTGTATGTGGTAGTCCTTATACTATTAAACTTGCACCATATTATATATCAATCATATTCAATAAATCTGGAAAAATACATTAAAGTTTGTAAAAAAGTTTGTAAAAATGAATTAATTTTTTAAAGAAAGAGGGAAAGAGTGAACTGTTCTAGAACATTCAGACACAACAGCACCCTCTGCAATGATGGGACAATTGTCTAGCCACACCAACAGTATGGTAGAGAAACTAATTTTTTTAATTATATTTCATTTTAATTCATATAAACATAAAGGTAAGTAACCACATGTGGTTGTCGTACTGGACAGGATAGCCTGTCCAGAGTCATGAAATTTGAACACAGGAAGTCTGACCTCAGAGTCTCTATTCATAACCATTAGATTATGATATGGCCTTATTAGTTGAAAGGAGATCTAAGGGGTTATGCTAATTTGTTAGTTTGACAATAGAGCCTGTTTTTATGCTGATGGGCCTTAGTCAGTGGAAAGTGAAAATTTGATGATGTAGAAGAGAGAGAATGGAAAAGGAGACATCTTGGAAACATTAGAAGGGTAAGATCCAGAACACAAGGAAGGAGCTGGCCTTTGACAGGAAATGATGAGTTTCAAAGTAACAACAGACGGGGCAGAAGCCAGGACCGATGGGGTAGATAGATTTGAAGATGGGATAATAAAGGAGTTTCTATTCCTTGGTTTGATTTTTTCAATGAAGTTTGAGGGAAGGTTATCAGCTGTGAGCAAAAAAAAAAAAGGAAAGAGAGGAATAGAGGCTTGAGAAGAGAGAGAAAAGTATAATAGAGGTAATTCTGAAGAATGGTAAGTATAGTAGAATGTTAAACCATTCTGAGTGCCTATTTGAGACCTGCAGTCATCGGTTTTTAAAGGAAACCACTCAGTATAGTTATTTATTTTTCTCCAGCAATTTTAGCTGATTGGGTACTGGCAAAGAGCAAGCAATTATGTGGCAAAAGTATAAAGATGAGAAAGAGTGACAGCAGAGCTAAGGGTATTTGCAAGGAAGTGATTATACGCAGAATCCAAGTGGGGTGAGGAAGGAAATGAGGACATGAGAGCAAGTGACCGTGAAAATGTAGCGAAGTCTTTAATTCCAATCAAAATATGAATGCGGGATTGTTTGTTTTGTTTTGTTTCATTTTTATGGAACCCGACAGGCTGATTCTAAATTTGTACAAAAACACAAAGGGTCAAGAAGATTCAGTCAGGGCAGTTCTGAAGAAGCAGGCTGGTGGATTTGCCGGTTTGCCGTAGCAGATCAGGATTTATTTTAAAGAGATACAGTCATTCAAGAAATATGATATCCATCACAGAGACTAAGGTAGTATTGGTTACAGACAGCTAATAGAACAGAGAACTCAGAAAGAGACCCATGAATATATAGAAACTTGATTTAAGGAAGAACTGACATCACACACAGGGTTGAAAGGACATACAATATATGAGGTGGGTAAAATAGGTTATCTATATCACACAAATGAAAATTGATTCTTAATTCTCATCACATTTATGCATTGACTTCAACATGAAAATCAAAACTATGAAAAATAGTGTTACAAAAAAATAAAGAATATATTTATGACCTCAGGGTAAAGAAGAATTTATTTTTTAAAAAACAAGAGGAATATACTACACCGAAGTCTACTTTACCCAGCAAGGCTATCATTTAAAATTGAAAAAGAAATAAAGACCTTCTCAGATAAGACAAAACTAAAGGAGTTTGTTAATACCAAACCAGTATTGCAACAAATGTTAAAGGACTTACTTTAACAAGAAGAAGAAAAAGAAGAAAATAGTTAAAAAATAAAATGGCAATGAAAACATATCTATTAATAATCACTTTAAAAGTAAATGGCTTAAATGCTCCAATTAAAGACCTATGCATAGGGTAGCTGAATGGATAAGAAAACAAGACCTATATATTTGCTGTCTCCAAGGGACCCACCTCAGACTGAAAGATACACACAAACTAAACGTAAAGGGATGGAAAAAGATATTTCATACTAATGCAAATGAAAAAAAGCTATGGTAGCAGTACTTTAATTGATAAAATAGTCTTTAAAACCAACACTACAGTAAGAGACAAAGAAGGACACTATATAATAATAAAGAGAACAATCCAACAAGACGATATACCCTAGTAAACATTTACACACACAACATAAAAGCACCTAATATATG